AAAACGCATCAGGATGTAGTATATAGTGGGAAAAGTGTCCTGAACAGGTTTAAAGTCAGCTTAAGAAGGTACTTCCCACTGCACTGGGACATGCATAGACAACTCTACCTGCTCAGATGCATAGTCTTCCTTTCCTACCTTTAGTGCAAGTTCTCACACAGTTAAGGCAAGAGATTTTAAAAAGTCATGAGGTCCTGAATTATCTGGCAAGCACCAATAAATCAGTCTAGGTATCGATTTTTCACTTTGAACTCCAGAGTAACACCTACAAGAAACCAATGCAAGTTCTTAAAAAGTTTTATTTTTATCAGCTCATAGTTATTGGGCCCAGTGACACATAATTGGACTTGTCCTCATCTGAAACAGCTCGTCTTTGACCTGTGGGGAAAGAAGAAATCTTAAATTCTGACATCTTCAAAAGAAAACATTGAAGCAGAGCCACTGAGGCCACTTTGCATGTCCTTCATTGTGGACAAGAGAAAACCTTACGAAATGTTTAAAATAACATGCAACCTCATACCTTTATTTCCATTTTCTGGGTTTGAACATTGCCCACTGCAAACTCCACCGAGTGGATTTCTGGCATCGCAGACTACGACGTCACAGTGGACGAAGAGCTGTAAGAGACAAGTTTATGGATGTTACGACTCGTGGTCTTGTGAACCATGAAAGTGAATTCATTCTCCTGGTTGACGTTACCTGGCGACTCAAGTCCTCTTGGTCTTGAGCAAAAGCAAACATCTTGACCTCAAAGCGCTTGAAGTGAGAAGGATTCTGGACTCTGGCGTCAGTCCAGACTGGATGGAAGATCACCTGGTATTGGTCGACTGGGTTTGCACAGCTGCAGAGTTATAAAGATGGTTAACTGGGAAAGGTGGTGCCAAAATGGTGCCACTAAATGGAGGCCAAAGCCCATGTTTCTGTACCAAATGCTTCAGTTGACAGCTGAACAACTGGGAAAACCGGAAAGTTACCCGTTAATGATGAGATTCCATCTGGGCTGAGACATCCTGTCCTCCTTCAGCGTCGCCCAGCAGGTCTCCAGCTGCAACGATACTTGGGGGCTTCCAGGCTTCACCAGCTCCACTTCAAAATACAGAGGCTGCTGCAGATATTTGGTTATGGGATAGTCCTCGACCCTGTGGAACACGCTGTAGGAGTCGTCTAAGACAGACAGATAGTACACATGGACCTGAATTATTTAGAGTTCAGACACAACAAGAATGTCTGAAAGCCCATTTCTAATTTTTGTGAGATGTTTTGCTGAACTTTGTCAGAAGGTGCAGTTTGCTTGCTCAACATGATGACATAAGGATCAATTTGTGAGATTGTCTACTGACTTTAGGAGACACTGGCAGTTTACTACTTTAGGAACATTCATTTGTTTTCTTCTGCTTATCCAGGGTCGGGTCACAACTCTCCCAAAGACTAAAGGATGTCCCCGAGGTCCAGTGTGCAGGTTAGAGAGGATCTGATTAACACTCCGCATCATCCATGTGACATGTTGACAAGATTAAGTTTCATTTTCCTCAATTTCTGGGTTTTAACGGCCTCACTGAATGTGTTTAAGTTAAGGGAAGGGGGCAAAGTTTCGAAAATCAAATGAAAACATTGGGAGAGATGACATTTTTAACTTCACTTACCCAAAGCGAGTCTCATTTCGACTTGCAGCAGGCCTTTTGCGTTTTCAGCGTACGGTTCGTTCCTGCGTTGTCTCGGTTGAAAGGCCACAGCGTGGGTCGTGTTGATGTCATAGTAGCATGAAACTTTTAACCTAAATGGCAAAAGACAATCCGTAAGACCTAAACGCAGCAAGTAGTGGCAATACATGTTTAAAGAAAAAAAAAAAAGTTTTACTGTCTGTCGTGGTAGCAGAGAATTCATGCTGCACCGAGTTAAAGAAAGAAATTCTCTTAATGTTACCTGCAATGTGTTTTAAGGCTACATAGTCATTTCACTTTCCAATACTTTTAAAAAATCATTTGGCCAAAACCAAAGAGGTCACCAGAACAGACAAGTCCACACCTTATGTTTCATATCTTGTTTTGTCAAACCAAAAGTTCAACAAAAGATAAATTTATCATCAGTTAAAGACAAAGATGCAGCAAATTCTCAGAAGCTAGGATTATATAGGGTTTTTGCTCAAGAAAAAACAAAAACTGCTTCTACATTTTGTCATTTAAAAAGAGACACTCACTCATACTCCGGTTCCTCCGAGTTAGACGCCCTTTTCGCTTCAAGCTCATCTGGCAGAGAGATTTCGTTTTCATACAGCATCACATGGGGCAAAAACTAAGGGAGCAAAGTAAAGTGGGATTCATTAGCTCGGTTTCATTGTTGACAGTCTGCATCAGAAAGTTCCTCAGCAATACGTCACCTTTCTAGTGGTTCCACAAGAGTTCCCAGTAAAGACGAAGTAAGCGTAGCGCTCGTCGCTGTAGGCGGGACCACAGGTGGGGTCTCTGAGTGTGAGCTGACTGGGGTTCAGACCGGGAACCGACTCCAGTTTCACAGCTAGAGCGGTCATGGTTCCGTTGGGGAAACACTCTGAAAGATGAGGAGCAGACATTTAGTCGTGCCGGAGACGCTTTGACGGCCACAAAAAGTTCCTCAAAACAAACCAGTCAGTGATGAGATGAAATTGCAAGCCACAGAGAATTCTTTGATAATCGTGTTTGTTTCCAGGTTCCTCAGAGTAACATCAAGTCTGCTCCTAATAGAAGACGATTCAATAGCCTGAGAAGAGGTCGACAAGGTGGTCACCAGTGATACTCTACATGTGCAACAGTGTCAAAGATCTGTGGAAAAAGGATTCTAGAAGTCGTACCTCGAACACAACAGGAGGCGCAAAGAACGGCACCGCAAAGCTGAAGTGTGTTCCGTTCTCGGTGAAGCCGTACTGCTGAGCCATGTTTTCAGTCAGCATGAGGTTTCCCACTGAGGTCTGGAAATTAAAGCCTTGGCTTCCATATTTCACAAGGATGTAAAAGTTCTGATGATCGCAGCCACCAGAGACGGAGGGGGGAACTGCAGATGGAAAATACAGATGTTTAAAATAACCTGAATGGCTGCCGCGTTTACACTGGTGCTCCTGTTGTGAATAAATCCATTATGTCCAAGAGTACTGACCAACGTCTTCTAAAACAGCTTCTGCATAAGCAGCGTGAGAAAATGGAGTATAATCATCCAGCACAACCAAGCCGAAGCTCAGGTGGAGAGCGTAGACTGTAAACCCTGCTTGGCTCTGTTGGGAAATGTACAGTAAGTTAATCAGCCAAATGAAAAACGACTGTCGTCAGTCTCCCCAAGCTGCCATTAAATTGTACCGTTTGTGAAACAACAGGGTCTTTAAAGGGCACTTCCAGTGTGAAGGCCTTGTGGCTGCTGTTTGGGGACATGTGCTCCAGGACGTTAATGCCTCTGGCTTGGCACTCCGTCACAGACAAAACCTCAGAGGGGAAGGTAATGTTCACTAGCGCCACATCGGGGAGAAAGTACCCGAACTCCAGCTTGAACACCCGCTCCGCTGCAACGGTGCCTGTGGGGCGAAAGAAGAGGAGTGATGGAAGTCTGGAGTTTACACGACTGTCACAAAAACACGAGTGATGAGACTCACGGTCAGTAACTTGAGGTGGTCGTGGCAGTAGTGGTGTTGTGATGGGGAACAAGACTTTGTATCTGGTGTTCTCATGAGTGGCGTCTTCAGTCCAGAGCACCTCGATCATCAGGTCGATCGTGTAAGACACGTGGTACTGACCGTTCTGAACTTGGCTCTGCAACAAATCAGATATACTTGTAAATTTCACCACTTAAATCTTTAGTTGTACCCATTACAGTTGCAGATTCTTGTGTACAACTACCTAAAAAAATTTTTAAGTTTGATTAATTTAATCCTGAAAAACTAGCATTGAGATTAGCATCATGTAAGCCCATACAGGTGTATGTAGGACAGCTCAACTTTTGATTCATTTCCACCATTTTAGATCTTTTACCTTAAAGTGGCCACCAACGGCTCCAATAGGAATTACAATCACGATGTACGTGTCCGTGACGGACAAGGAGTAGTGTCTGGCCTCGATCTCAGCAGCCTCCAGCCTCTGACCCTCGATGCCCATGTGCACCTCCAACAGTTTGGACTGGCCGGAAGAAATCAGCGGGTCGATGTGTCGGGGCAGGTAGCAGGTGATTGTGTCAGCAGTGAAGTAAACACTACCTGTATATAAAAGGTGAACACAGGCAATAAAAAAAAGACAACCAAGACCCAGCAGTGATAGAGTTAAAATATGGGAATGAGTAGGTCTGTAGGTCATGAGTTCAAGTCCCTTATGTGCAGAAATGTAGGGACACCAAATGAAAAGTTTGATCACCAATGAGTTATTTTATTTATGCTGTTAAGTTTGGCACGATAAGATAGATCCCCCTCATATGTGTCTAATGAATATGAAGCTACAGCGAGGAGATGACTACATTAGCATCAAGATCGGAAACCAAAGGAAGCTGCTCAAACAGAGCTCAATAGTTTAACCTTTTTTTCGTTTAATAAATTGTAATTTGCCAGATTATTTTTTTGCTGTGTGCAAAGCTAGACCAGCCATTTCCCTCTGTATCCAGTCTTTATGCTAAGCTAACTGGCTGCTGGTGAAGAAAATAGGCACATTCCCTCCCCCCCAAAACTATTCAGTTCTCTCTAAATGTTACCACCAATATAGGACTCTAAATACCTCACCACCTGAGTTTTCTGTAAGGGTTCCTCCATTTTTTTCTGTAAAAGAATCAATTAACCTTGAAGTTAAAGCCTTCATCAGCCTATAAAATACCCCCCAAAGGTAAAAACTGCTAATTTGGTACACTTAAATCCCTAGACAACCCCATAGTCACGACCTCAGCGGCCTGCCGCCCTCAAAACACGATCATTACCGTCCAGTAGTGGGCAAGCAGCTGCTGCATCAATCCGTGTCACCAGCCACTTCTTCTCAAAAACAGTCGAGGTCTTTACCACCCTCATGAGCACCCCGGCTACCTGTGGGACGAGATCACAGAGCATCACGCATAAATGGTCCAAGAACAGTGACAGTTTAACGCTTTGTTGGTTCAGTTTCAACTATTGGCTCTGTAAAGATGGCGTGGAGTTATTGTGTCCTCGGAGTGAAGTTAGGCTCCCTGTGTTGTAATCTGGGCTTCTGTTCTGGTACCTGGTCCGATCACATGTGCACACGAGTCCCTCTCTTTGAAATTGTTGGTTTACCGCACTGTGAAACGCTCATTCTGGTGAGTTCAGCTGCTGGACAGAGGGGTGCACTTGTTACCGTAATGTCCAGACTATAAGCCCCTTCTTTTGTCACACGCTTTGAACACTGCGGCTTAAACAACGATGCGGTTGATTTATGGATTTTTACGAATTTGCCTCGAGACGAAAGTGACATTGAGAGCGACAACGAAAGAGAGACTGAGGAAGAGTGACGAAGGAATTCTGAGGCTGTTTGACTCAGACACTGAAGAAGACGACTTTAGTGGTTTTAGTGCAGGAGGAAGATTAAGATAGTGATTTGATTTTCTTAAGCAGCCGTGTTACAGACACTGTTTGGAAAAAGGCCTGCAGCTTATAGACAAGTGCGGCTGATATATGTACAAAACTTGTTTTCTTTTTAAAATTATTGGCTGTGGCTTATATTCAGGTCCCTCAATAGTCTGATATTTACGGTAATTCATGACATCCAGGTAACGGACTCTACAATACCTTTAAGATTCTTTTTTTTGTCGCCCTCATGAACAAACCTTTTTCTGGTTGCTGGTGAAACTTGGAGGGAGGCTCGTTCGTTTTGGTTTTCTTGCAAACATCCAGCGGTTCTGACCGTCGTATAGCCTACAGCAACTTTAAAAAGCAAGATGGGCTGGTTTGTTGGAACAAAAGCCAATTTCTAATTATATGGGTAATTCACCGTAATGGAAGACTTTATTAAAAGTGGTGCCAACTCGATTTGAGACAACGCGATCAATTTAAAAGCCAGTTAGATCACACCATTTCATCTAAATCCAATTGCAAGTGTAAGCAAACACCAAGTTATTTAAGAGGCTGCAAGTAATTTAGCCTGACTGGAGGGGAAAGACATAAAGTCAGACTTCAAAGAAACTTAGCTGACTCACATTCTGGGTGTAGGTTTCTGGTGAAGCCTGTGGACTTCTGACAACCAGCCTTTTAGGAGTGTTCGCAATCCCGTGTCCACTCCTCTGGGCGTCGGTCACCTTCATAACCTTCTCCTCAGGCGTGAAGAACGTGATGGTTGTCGTTCTGAATCCTGTATTTCCTGTATTGACTGGCTGCTTCTGTAAGGCAAACACCAAATCAGGATTTTACACCCGGAGAATACAGCTATGGAATAAAAAAACAAGATGAGCTCGTCTAACCCCTGCAGATCGTTGAAGATGACCAAGCTTTGCATGGCCGTCTGGGATGGGGTTTTCAGGCAGGACATAATCATCTGGAGTCGGCATTTTCACAGACACCTAGAAATGAGGCCATTCCATGAGTGATAATCCATCTCTCCCCTCTGCAGGCAGCCTTAATGCCCACACGGGCCATAAAGCCACTTATCATACGAACAGGAACGTGACCTTTTGGAGTCATGCCGCATTCACTTGCCTCCATATAGTTGTGATCGCAGAGGATTTCCCTGCAGGCCCAGGTAGGGTAGTGGCAGGTTTCAGCCACCGGGTAGATTTCATCTTCAGCCAACTGGCTCCCGTGCAGCCGAAGCTGGAACGCTGTTGTGAACGCTTCATCGTTCTGCAAATCAGAGGAATTAACCTTGAAGGTATCAGAACATTAAGACACACATTCAGTCCCGCTCCATAAAGACATATCGCCGGTTTTGTTACCACATTTTGAGCAAAACAGTTTTGAAGGGAGGCGTAGATCATGGCGTTCCCCAGATGGTCTATCTTCATGCTGAAGCCACACTGAGATGCTAAACTCGGCGTGAGGAGAATGGCAGAGTTGTCTGAGGACAGAAAACAAAGAAGGTGGTCACTTAAAAAAGTAAAAGCAGTTCAAACACTTTAAAAAACAGACATTTCAGCTCACTTAAGACAACAGCAACTTCCAGAAGATTTCCTCTGAGCGGACCGACATCCACACGCATGACGTTCCCCAGACATTTAGTGCTGATATCTGGGGGGGAAATTGTTCACATTAGTGATGTGACACAGTTTTAGGACCAAAAGACTGTAAACTGGCAACAAAAACCTACTTATAGAGGGCTTCTTCGTAGCCTCTATGCTTATAGCCGCTATCAAGAGAATCAACCACCTGAAAAAGATCAAGTCATCGTCAGAGGAGTCAAATCAGAGGCTGTGAACAAAGAGAGGACGATAAAAACAAATGAAAGTACCAACCTCAGTTCAAACAAATGACCCATGGCACAAGATGTGGGAAAATGGTAACCTTAGAGTTTCTCTCCAGCAGTTTTTCTTGACGTTTGTGGTGGGGATCAACTCTACAGGGCCACCCTTTGGGTGAGAGGAGGGAGGTTCCTGCTCAACAAATACAGCCCCACACAGGTGGATCCTATTACTGTCTGATGGGGGTAATTGCACGTGTGGCCTGAACCGAGTCAAACGGGTCACAGAACTACCAGAGTTACACTTAAATGATTATCAGGATCAGCTACAGCTCCTCCTGGGGAAAACATAAAATTAGTACACTTCTGGTGTGATGGTTTAAACGCTGGTCCTGTTTGGTGTTTTTATCTATGTTTTTATTTTATAAGTTGTTTTGATCCAAGTAAAATAAATCTCACCAGACGTTTAGATTTTTGTGTCACAAACGTGTTCAATGCAAGTTTAATCCTATAAATGTGTTTCTAGATGCAGTTAGTTAGAATTAACAGATAAAAGAAGACTTGGTTCTGTAATTTTACGTAGATTTGTTGGTTAAATAAAACATATCTTGTATAATTTCCAAAATGATTGCATTAAAAATGCTAAATAAATGTGTGTATATGTATAGCTATACTGTATGAAAAGACGTAAAACCTTTTTTTTTTCTCTCGCTATCTGACATTAAATCAAACTTTTCCTGTTTTAAGTCAGTTAGGATTATTTCTATTTGCTAAATGCTGAGAAATGAGAGAGATACTTTTTTTTAAAGACTACTCTATATATCAGCGATCAATATATATAATATAGATAACTCTGGAAAATTACTGTTTTTAAAAGTTTAAAATTAAATTTACTTTGTTTTCATGAAACTGTCATTTCATTTTCTTTTGCTTAACAACTTATTTGTGTATTGTTTTTTGTTTGGATTTTTTTTTTCATTATTGTTTACCAGACATTAAGTAAAGCAAAGTAGGTAAATAAAGTTTTTTATTAAGGAACGCTGTGCTTAAAATCTACAAGTGTTTCCCCAAAGACAAGATGTTGAAACGGTGCATTGATTTTAGGAGTAGACTGTCTGGTGCTTTGGTGGGAAGAAGAGCTGCAGCAGTTTGATGCTTTAACGCTGCCGGCAGCAGATCCAACAGATGCTGAGGATGTTTTCATCAAAGTGATAAAAACACGGACGGACGTCTTGTGCAGGAAAGAGTTTGTCAGCTTGTCTCATAGATCACAAGTTCTCAAACTGTTTGGTGTAAAAAATATCGGTTGTAGCTGAACCCACAACAGTTTTTTTAAAGCCAGCCTGTGCTGTATCTCCCCTCTGCTGCCAAGTCCTGTGTTTAGTGGCCGCTTCGGCAGCCAGCAGCACTTTCTCTCCCAGGATTGAAATGTCAGAGTGTGATCGGAGGCTACTTTACTACTTCCACTGTACAAACAAGCTGAGATCAGCTGCTTTTAGCTGCAGTTGTTTCACCCAAATAAAAGCAAATGGAACATTTCTGAACATTAAACATCAGTGATTATGGATGAAGCCTTTACAGAGAGGAAGCGTAATAAATCCCAACAGAGCTACACTCGGGCTGACTGCGCTCATTATGCTGAATCATAAGACTGGATTGTCTGGGGCGAAGTAAACACGCTGCTGCGATGCTCCCGTCGGGTCAGATGGGTTGTTAGAGGCTCATTCTCTGCTGAGCGGCTGGTCGGGTTCCTGTAACCCAACTGCTGGTTGATTTTCCCACGTATCTGTTGATGAAGCTTCTTTTGCAGTCAGACGTTTACAGAGCGAACACTGGTTTATGGTCAATGCGACTACTCTACCTGTATGTTAAATAAGTTCTGGTATCGCTGTGATCTTGAGCAAAGAGGTCATAGAGACTCAACATTTAAAGAATCCTGCATACAAATCTAAGACAGGATTCTGTAAAGTCAATAACCCACTTATCTGCTTTATAACAATGAGACTTGAAACTATCCAGCGAGCTGTGTTGCTGCATGTTTAGTCCACTTTAGACACTTTTAACTTCAGTTTTAAGCAAAGTCATCAAACTTTTTAACCATTTTCATTATGAGATGCGACAATTAATTCTTTATACGCTGTTTTTATGTTCCGGTGACCGTTCAAGTTGCAGTTCTGACTGTCTCCCCATCAGGAAATAGAAGCCGGCCATGTCAGTGTGAAATAACTGCAGAACTTATGACCAAGATGGCTGCAAGTTAGCGAGACGTCTTAAGCTCGTTTCAGTACATACGTATATGGATCATTGTGATGGAGTTTGTGATTTTTATTGTGGAACATTGATTAACTATTATTTATATATTTTTCATTTTACAGAGTTCTACTGTACGTAAATCATCTAGAAATATTTCTTTTTTAAAAACAAATATTTACAGGAAATAAAAGAAAAAACAGGTAAAAATAAGGATAAAAAAATTGCAAATTATTTTTTAAAATTATTTCACATATATTTGTCGATATTTTCACTGCTTTTAAAGGTTTTGAACGTCAACCATGAAGAGTTTATCTGATCCTATGTTATTTTTTTTAACCCAGCAGCTTTTTAAATGTGCACTGTAAAAAAATAAAAAATAATAATAATCCATTTAAAAAATGTAGAAATCTAGCAGCAGTGACAACATTAAAGTGCTGAAATGACGGAATAGTATAATACTAGCAAAAGGAAATAGAAATCCTGAAACAGTTAAAATCTGCATAATAATTATTCAAAAATGCAACATTGTGGACATTATGTTTAGTTTTGATTTTTTTTTTTTTTTTAAATAAAATTTTTGGTATTAATCGGAATTTGACAAAAACAGGAAAATTTGTAAAATCTCAGCTTAAAATATTTTTCAATCCTTAATATGCACGTTTTTTCCCCCTTCAAATAACAACATCTTTAAAATAATGTTTTGTTTTTTCTGATTTAAAAACATTTTTTGTTTGTTTGTTTGTTTGTTTGTTTATTTATGTGTCATTTTCAGGTCAAATGTTAAAGAAAACTTCATGAATTTACAGATTTTTGATCTGGACAATATTTACAATTTTGGCCTGTTTTTTAAACTAATTTATACATTTTTTAATTAAATGGTAAATTAAAACACTTGGTTGACGATTTCATTAGCATTACCTCTAATTTAACAAAACAGGAAGCATCTGTAAAATGACAGAAAAAAAGACGGTTTTAAAACGTTATTTTTTTTTTTTTTTTAAACAATGGAGTAAATTGTTAATATTTAATAAAGCTTGAGGGTGACCCGGCTGTGGGGATAAAGCTGGCTTTAGTTTTTAAACCAGCCCCTGTTTGCTGGTAGAAACATCACCAGTCATCGCTGATGAAGTCGGTGTGCGTCTGCAGGAGGGACAGTGATTCCTGTCCTCGGTCCTCCCTCTCCTCTCCTCTCCTCTCCTCTCCTCTCCTCCCTCTCTCGCCCCTCCCTGTTCCCTGTAAAAGGCAGCAAAGTGCCGCCTGCCGCCGTCCCGCCTCCAGCTGCTCCTCTTGTCCCGTCCGGTGCGCTGCAGCAGCGCACTGCCTGCACCGAGCCGCTGCCGGCAGCAGCATGAGCGGCGCAACAACAGCCGGATAAAAGTTCTTTTTCATGGGAACAAACACCGCAGGTATGTTGGAGCTTTTACATCTTTGTACTTTTAGAAAGCACTTAATTGCAAAAAGCTGAGAAAGCCTTTGTTTGGGTTGTAAATGTCTGGAAGTGCATCTGTGAGGAAACAGAACCATGCTGGTGTTGAGATGATGTGTGGGCTCAGTTTCAACTTGTTGCCTCTCATTTCCTCTGAGTTCGTCTGGTCCTCTCTGTAATTTGATTCCTTCAGTGATAATCCTGAACTTGAGCCCTCCATGAAGTGACAGCACCTCACGCCTCTCCTCTCATGCCACTACAGCCCATTTCCTGTGTGTGCTGTATTGATTTTTTTTCCTTCAGAGGACTAATGTTTTCCACCAGCAGCGCAGTCAGATGTGTCTTGATAGATCCATCCAAGACGGTTTGTTGTCGTAAAAAAGCACCTTAAAGAAATTCCTGACCTCATTTCTCCTCATCATGTCTCCACATGTGTCATCAGGACCATGGGGTACGGGCAAATCCTCCACCGCCGTGGGAATGAGGAGGACCGGGTCCACCTCAACGTGGGAGGGGCGCGACACCAAGTGGATCCGGACACGCTGCTCCGCTTCCCCCACACTCGTCTGGCCCGCCTGCTGCGCTGCCAGAGCGAGGCGGCGATCCTGGAGCTGTGCGACGACTACAGCCCGGCCGACAGGGAGTTCTACTTCGACAGGAATCCCCGGGTTTTCCTCTGCGTGCTCAACTTCTACCACACGGGCCGCATCCACATGATGGAGGAGCTGTGCGTGTTCTCCTTCAGCCAGGAGATCGAGTACTGGGGCATCCAGGAGCTCCACCTCAGCCCCTGCTGCAGCAACTGGTACCATGAGAGGAAGGAGTACATCGAGGACAGGGACTGGGACGTCAGGAGCGACGACCAGCAGCAGCCCAGTTTGGACTCTTCCTTCGAGGAGCTCTCCGCTCTGGACAAAGACCTCGCCAAGTTCAGAGGCGCCTGGTGTGGAGAGGTGAGGAGCTACGTTTGGCTCAGACTGGAGGATCCGGGTCACTCCAGAGCCTCAAAGATCATCGCCGTGGCCTCCCTCAGCGTGGTGCTGACCTCCATCGTTGCCATGTGTGTCCACAGCATGCCCGAGTTCCAGCGTGTGGACGACAACGAGAAGCCCATCGAGGACCCCGTCCTCGGCATCCTGGAGGTGATATGCATCGTCTGCTTCTCCGCAGAGTTCATCATCAGGCTGATTGTGGCGCCCTCCCGGAGGAAGTTCCTCGGGAACCCCTTGAACATCATTGACGTTGCTTCCATTTTGCCATTTTATGCCACTTTAGCTCTGGAGACGGCCGACGAGGAGGCCGCGGAGGAGAACGAGGACTTAGAGAACGTGGGGAAGGTGGTGCAGGTCCTGCGCCTCATGAGGGTTCTCCGAATCCTCAAACTGGCTCGGCACTCCATCGGTCTGCGAGCGCTGGGCGCCACCGTCCGCCACAGCTACCACGAGGTGGGCCTGCTCCTTCTCTTCCTCTCAGTGGGAATCTCCATCTTTTCCGCCCTGATCTACTTCGCAGAGAAGGAGGAAACGTACACGGATCTGGGGACGATCCCTTCGGGGTGGTGGTGGGCAACGATCACCATGACAACGGTCGGTTATGGCGACACGTGTCCGGTGACGCTGGCGGGGAAGATAGTGGCCACCCTGTGCATCATCTGTGGCCTTTTAGTGGTGGCTCTGCCCATTACCATCATCTTCAATAAGTTTTCAAAGTACTATCAGAGGAACAAAGCCATGGAGGGCCAGTGCATCACCAAGCCTGAGAGACAAGACCCAGAGCTGCCCTACTACAACATCAGAGACCTGTTCACAGAGAGCGTGTATCCCTTTATAGGAGGCCTCGCCTTCAGGAACACTGACAGCAGCGGGGGGGACGATACAGATGCCTCCAGTCTCCAGGACATCGAAGTGTATGATAATGACACTTGTGAAAATGGGGCAGCAAAATGAGATTCTTGCCATTTCACAGAGTACCACTCCCTTTATGACTGCAAGTCACTCCGTGCCTCTCAGGGCAGAACGCTCCATCACTGACCCTGCCTTCCTGCACCGTCTTCCTCCCGCAATTTGACAGAGAAATATTGTGGTCATGATGTTTTTTTTTCCTTTTTTTTTCCTACAGGGGAAAAGCTTGTGAAATATACAGCGTCGCTAAAACCAGGAAATCTAAAGGGAATTATCTGAACCTTGCTCAGAGGTTTGAAAGCCCATTTTCTGCTTGAGAAAACTGCAATGATGCATGTAGGAGGCCATAATGTTAATGTTTTTCAAAGTAATGTCCTTTATTGATTTGTCCGCTCGCTGAAAGTTCAAAGTGAGTGTTCGCCAAATGCAGAAGTCTAGAATGACAACAACGCAGTTTGATGTTTAAAAATGGTTGTTATGGATCTCCACGTTGACTGATGTTCCACAGCCTGCATGACCGAAATAAATGCATCTTGAGAGAGAGAGAGTAATAAAAATAGTTGTGTAGGATATGTGGCGTTATTGACGCTGATAAAGAGAGGCCGCACGTCTCACTGTGCCAGGTTGTTATTAGATTCTTGTTTTGTACAGGCATGCCTGGGGGTAACTCATACGGACATGAAATAAAACTCAGAAGAAAGACGGCTTTCATTTGTGGAAGTTCATGTAAGAAGTTGTGTCGCTCGCTCATGCAGATGCACGCTCGTTGCATTTATTGATGATTATATGAAGAGTTCATTTGCAAAAACAGATTTCTGTAGATTTTCAGAAAACTAGTTTTTTTGTTGTTTGCTTGAGATGATATCAGTCAAACTGAAGCTGAGTGGATCTGACTCAGTACAAATAGAGATAAGTTCAGTTTGATTGCTGTTGTCTCAGGTAGACGATGGAACGCTGGGTTTTTTTCTGGAGGTTTGTGCAGATGGAGTTTTCTGTTTTTGCAAATGAGCTAAACTTAAATCAGGAAAACAACGTGCAAGAACTCCACATTCCACCTCGACTGTAGCCCGACTAAAAGGAAAAATACTGCTCAGTTCAGCGGTGACATGCACTGTGACGCAAAAGGAGGCATTCTTTACTTATTCACACTTTTCTGTTCCTGAAAGTATCGACCTCCTGTCCCCGGTTATAATTTCCACCTGGATGAGCTGCTGAGATGTAAAAAAAGAAAAACCTCTGCAGGGGTCTCCAAGGTGCTCACGCAGTTGACCAGCAGCATCCTCTCTGGCAGCAAACTGTTACCCTGAAGCATTTCTTTTTCTGATTGGATCTAAAGTTCAGCCCGTTTCCTCGCCGGTGGATGGATTTGATGGCAGCTGAGGAGATGAAGCCCGTAAAGATGATGGTGTCGGGGAATGTTGCTTCACACTTCTTACTTTACAGCAGGTTAAGACTAACTGCTGCCCAGCCGGAACAGATAAACCCAATTATGCTCTCATTATTCATTAACAGGAGTAAATGAGTTTCGATCACCGGGCCTCCTGCATCAGGTATGCACCAGTTAGCGGATTAGCATATCTACAGTCGCCATTTATTGAAATTACGACACACAAAATCCATCCTGACGCTGATTATCCAGAAATTAGCATCCAGGTGCACAGTGCGTGGATCTGTTTGCACGCTTACGTGAAATAAAAAGTTGATGCATTTCTTCAAAATTCTGTCCTGAAAAAAACCCATAAAGATTCAGCTCTCAGTTGAATTCTGCAGCTCAGAGCCGAAGTCACGCCTCCAGCTGTGATGAGAGGTCACATGTAGACTCCATCTACCGCCGCCTCACCGTGAATCACTGCAACAACAAAACAAAAGAAAGTAATGACGTATGTGAGGCGTTGCTCCGTTATCAACTGGATGATGATCATGTCTGCTGCTGTTACGGTGAACACTCCTCGGCACCCTCGCTAGAAAAAAAATGCTAATTTAACAACGTGGAGAGCTGTGAGATATGTTGGCGCGCAGCAGTGTGTGAGGCGCACAGCCGAGAAACAATATAGGTGAAAAACAATAAGGAAGGACTCTGGGGGCAAGCCTGTAATTTATATTCAATGTTTGTGTGAACAGCGATATCAGTCCTCGTGTGGAGGAATCTGCCAGATGACAGTCCAGCACTGTGGGCAACAGATAATAATGCGTTCCTCACCATTACTCCCAGACGTTTGTCTTTGGGCGCGGGTTCCGATGAGGGAAGTGGATTTCGATATCCTGTCATTTTGCTGCCAGCAGAAGCATTCGCTTACTGTGCTTTGGTCAGGATGTGTGTGTTTCCCATAATTTCCCTAAGCAGCTGGTGTCTCTCATCTGACTTACAGAAAGTTTGATGTTTTCTACGGGTGACTGTCGTTGCTCCGGCTACAGAACAACTTATACTAATTGCATTTTAGTCAAAGTTACTGATGAGCTTTCAGCTGAAATAACAAGTTGTTGGGTTGAATCTGAAGCGACCACACTTCTGTGCAATGTCACTTTAATGTTAAGTGATTCGGCATCGATCACCTCTTGATGACTGCATTGTTCCTAAGTTGAACCGTGACGTATTTTCTCTTGTGTGAAATTAAAAACTCAGTTTAGATTTACTATGTTAAAAACAGAGGCCCCACGGTTGGAATTCAATGCAGCAAAAACCGTAAAACCTTCACTACCGACGTTTCAGATCCTTATGTTTTTAACACTTTGCATGTCCAGCTTTATTCGTAACGACAGAGTTAATCCTCCTCAGTGTGGAGGACACAGATGTCTGGAGAGATGAGACTAATTTATGCAGCTGCTTCTCTTTAAATTACCCCAAAGTTAGTCAGTTTGATTCAAGTCAGACAACTTACTGGTAATAGGGTTAGGGTGCCAAGGCCCCGTTTACACGAAGCAAAACTGGTGATCCTTCAATGCATTTGGTGTACATGTAAACGAAGCTACACTGAAAACGATCAAATATGGAAACTCCTAAGATTTGGAAAACCTCCGTCTTTATGTTTGCATGTAGACGGAGTTTGACGTCACAGTGTGTGACCAAAAAAAAACGTGGCGTGTGTGCGACCAGTTTGGCTGCTGTGGTAGAAATGGACGCTGTTTATTAAAGCAGTGCTGGTTTTTATGTTTGTGCAACGCTTTGGCCTGTTTGTGTTTAAATTCAAACGACCCCATTATCTTTGAAGAAACAGGAAGTAATTTGTGCCATTGTTGTTGTGTTTTTTTTCCTCCAGGATTCTGATTGGCTACTAGCATGGCTTTCTCGTTACACTGCCCCCTACAGGTCTGTCAGCTCATAGCAGCTCTTAACAGCGTGTTTGTGTAAACGAAGATTTTTTGTAAGCGATCTGGTGTGAACGATGTTATTTTTGAAAACCTAGATCCGTTTTTGTAAATACCAGCTACGTGTAAACGAAGTCTGAATCAAATGCTTTTCAGGGTAGATTGTGGAAGTAGGACCTTGTTTGTGGAGTCATTTTAGGAGGACGACGACTGAAGCACTGATTGGTGACGCTGTGGCTTGTTCATTGAAATCACATTCAGTGATCACAGGTTCACTTTTGCTGCTTTGAGTTTCTTTGGGGCCTGTATTTTTAATATAATCTTTCTAAAGTGTTTGTTTTTGATTGTTTATGAGACTAAATGTCCTTCTTAGAAGTAACGTGATTACTGAAGCTAGCATTTAAATGATTTTGTACTCACTTCTTTTGCATACTGTAGATATTCCTACATACATGTCTTAGATTTGATCTCCAGAAAGTCGCAGAGTGAAGAAAGAAGCTCCCTGAAGGTCCACAGTCTGGTAGGACAATAAGCTCACACAGTTTATTAATTACACCTCCTGTCTAATAACAATTCTATCCCTCTTTTGTGGAGGTTTATCCTCCTTTATGACTGAGATGGTTACCTAAAAGCAGTGACTACAAAATCTTCCTTCATTTTTTTTTACTCTCCCCCTCAAAGGTCAAAAGATGTAACGCTGAACTGTTATTGATCCAATTCATGGGTCAGAGTTAAGGTTAAACTTGGCAAGAAGGCTCCTTCTTCACCCGTGCAATAAAATCCATGAATTGCAGCAGCACAATTGAAATGAATTGATTTTGCAGTGAAATTTTACTGTTTCAAATGGCACCGTGAGTGGCTACAGCTCATTTATGCTTCAGCCTTTATAGGAGATTTATCTGGTCCTGCAGGAATCCAGTCAGTAAGCAGTGATGATCTCTGTGCATTACGTAATCCTGTAAGTTCCTGTATTAAATAGTCAATTCCCCGCTGCATGGAAAATGTACTTATTACAGGAATACAGTTGCTTTTTAGGTATAAGTCGGTCTGGATAACATTGGTCAGGGTGTTAATAGAAAAATGTCAATGTAAGGTAAAGGTCACGTCGACTGTGTCAGCACAAATGTCACTGCAGCAGAGTGACGGACAGTGAGAGTTCTGTTTCAAACTTCGCCTTTAGGCTTTTTTTTTTTCTTTAAATGAAACAACCAGCTTCATTACATTAGGGCTGGAGGTGAAGCTGCTCACCACAGAACTTCTGCTGGGTCAAATCGAAGCTGATTGGATGTGGTGGAGCATTAAACGACCAGGATAAAAGGTGTCACTGAACAATCGGATTCCTGTCAGAAACACTGTGATCACTTTCATGAGAGGGGAGTAAAACCGATCAATAAAATTTATCTAAGCGTTTCTCCTTTTTTCTCCTCTGTTTTAGATTTATACTTGTAATCGCCAGGCAGCGCTTTGATGCTAATGTGAAGTGAGTTGTTTGTGTGCAGAGGAGGAGCAGTGATGTTTTCTGGCTTGCCGTGATGTCAGGAGGGGATTCTTCTGCAAAGTCCACTGGACTTTAGTGTTAAGCAAAAGTCACTGCGGCGAATGACGGAAAGAGCAGAAGCACGGCCGGCTGTCACCCTCATCCATGTGTGCAGTTTCAGTACACTTCAGGTTTTTGATGAGAAAACATAAATCTTTGGCTGAAACACCTGACATTTGTCCAGGTATGAGTATGGAGTTATATATTACATAAAGCCTCAGGCTCTATGGAGGCATTTGTCCCTGAACTTCTCACAAAAGGTAAAGGTCACTGCATGCTGTGATGAATGTGCAAAAGGCAGCCGAGTTTTATGTTGTGTGAAATTCTAGTGAGGCCAGCCGCAGTGCTGCAGCAGCCCTCCGACCTATAGCCTCGTGTTGACGTGTTTAATAAGTAGAGATTTACACAGCGCTGAATTAAAATCCACGGCACCGGGCAGATCAATCATCTCTACATATTTAAACTGCAAGGTGTAACTGTTTACCGCTAATTGACAGCACTTATGTTAGCGTTCAAACGCACAAGTAAAACAGTTAATGAAACATGCTGCTGCTTAATTAAAATCTGGTTCTCATCAAGACTAGCTGTAGTTCTAAATTACATTTCTCACAAAAGAAACAGTATACACCTCAAACTGCAAATCAGTTTAACGACGTTGGATAAATTAGCCTTGAATACATTACTATGATTATGTTCCTCATTGAAATGCTGCGTGCAGACGACACTGTGTAAATGCAGACACATAAAAGATGGATGTAGTCTGTGATGTCACCGCTGCTTTGTGGCTCTCATTTTAAAGCCTCAGATGTGGCGTGTGGCTGTCACCATCTACGTTTGTTGAATCAAAATGTGACGAG